TCAGCAGGAGGGGAAGGGGGACGCGCCCACCCAGCTCGCGGGAGCCGGGCGGCCGCTGGGGGGCGTAACGGCTGCCTGGCAAGCCCTTTGGCCTCTTCCAGGAACTGTCAACGGGTTCGTCGCCGCCTTCAAACGGTGGCTTTTCTGTTCCCTGCGTCCAGCATCCCGGACAACTGATCCACGCTCTGGGAATGTGCTCTGGGGGAAATGAGGCTTTTCCTTCCTGGAGGGGAGCCTACTTGCCCCAGAGGTTTTCATTCCCTGGGGTAAATAAATGATGAAAATCCCATTTTTCTACTATTTTTGCCTCACTCTTCTCCCCTCCCCCACCTCATGCTACTGGATGCTCGCTGGCCCCCCACGTTCTAGTATTTACTACTCTGAGTTTTAGGGTTTGGTGGGTCGGCGCTGGGCAGGGGCAGAGGTGGAGAGACGGGAGGGGAGGGGAGAAGTCTGGATTCCCAGGGGCCGGCCCGGGGCTGGCTCGATCCGGTCACACAATAGCCGGCAGAGCGACCGGGGGCACGGAAACTCTAGCCAGCGGCGCGGGGCGGCGCAGCCTTAGGATACTTCACCTGCAGGAGAGCTGGCTCCGGGCCCCGAGCTCTGAGCCGCCCTGGGCAGGTCCGAGCTCCCTGTCCGCACCTGGGCACCTGGGGCGCTCAAGAGCGTTGGAAGGGCAAGGAGAAAAAAAAAAGCAAAGCAAAACAAAACAAAACAAAAACCCCTATTCACCAAACACAGGTGGGTGTGTCAACCTCTTTATTATTTGGGGAAAAAATAAAAAGATGAAGGCAGCAAACCTCTTAGGTGCAAGTTTTTGAAAACAAAGTCTCAGACCACCAATTTGATACTTAGTTGAGAAACACCATCAAAACAAAGGCTTCTCCTTCCTCCGACAGGGCGTCTGTCCCCGGAGAGGAGGAAGAGCAGGCCGAGCCGCCAATCTGATGAATCACCTAGAAGGCCACGCCTCCATCAGTGCTCGTGAGAGCCCGCCCTCCGTGTGGTGTCAATCACGCCTCACCTTGAGCGAAGGGCGCCGGTGGACTTGGGAGCCGGGAAGCAGGCTTGATTGCCCTGTTTATGGCATTGGGGTGTAGGGGTGGGGATTTGCAGGAAGTAACAGTGCATAAAGCTTCGCAGGAATGGCTCTAGATGTTGGGGTTTCACTTAGGCATCTGCATTTATGCTCGGATTAACTTTTTAAAAAGAAAGAAAATTGAGAACAAGAGTTAAACTGGGAGCGAGGCACACTTCGCAGCACAGTTATAAAAGAGAAGATTTTTAAAAATCGACTGTTTCACACAATCTACTATCTGCAGTGAGATGCTTTTTGGTATTTTCACCAAGATTCAAAATATCAACATGGGTTTCTCCGTTACTTTAGGACTGTCACATTATGATAGAAGTGCTATTTCTAACTATGGGAGGAAAGATGAAGACGACAGTCATTAACACTAGTATTGAATTTGTACTTCACAGGTGCTACTTCTTGTTCTAAGCACCTTAGACATCAGCACTTTATAGCTGGAAAAACCAAAGCATAGGGAAACAGAAGTCACCTTCAGACAACTCCCCCAGCAAGTGATAGGACCATAGCAGGTTTTAAGCACAGCTCACTCTTTAACCACTGAAAAGAAAGGGGGTGGTGGCAGTGGAGGGCGTTCTGATTTCATGCTCACTGGACAATTTCCTGGGCACTAATTCAACTTCTAAGCTAGCCATCATTCGGAAGAAAGCGCCTTGTAGAAGTAGCCCTGGGGAGTGTAGTTTCTAGGAAGGAATGTCTACAGTTGCAAATGAATTCGTAATTTGGTTTATATGTTGCATATATATGTATAGGACACACATATGCACTGCTACATGTATTTAGGAGAAAACACACCAGAAAATCCATTTTCTGGTGCATATTCGAAATCCTCTTTTTAGGACCTGTCAAACCAACCCCCGAGCAGGAAAGCCAGCTTTGGAGCCCTTCAGAATGACTAGTCGTAATTCTCTATGACATCTTTTATGGGCCTTGCTCACTAAAACTGCAGCAGTCTATCCCTTTAGAATCTGAAAATCTATGGAGCTGCTATAAAGACATAGAATTACGTACAGTTGGATAATATAAGACAATAAAAGTTAAGCTCCGTTATAAACCACTGTCAAGATGAATAGTTTAGGCTAGGGTTGGCAAATACAGACACATTCTGCCCCATCCCCTCCTCCCATACCGTTCTCATTGTCCTTGTTAAAGGGCCATCGACTCGCATGCCCACGAGTAACCTCGGTGTCGTCAAGATTTATTTAACTCCAGACACGTTAGTCGTTCGCCTTAACCTTAGATCAAACCAGTTTTCATCTCTATTTTGATGTAAGTGACAGGCAGGATCAGAGAGGAGGAAAGATAGGTGATGGCTGGTGCCACTGGGGAAGACTTTCTGAAGAAAGGCACAAGAGTTGGGCCTTGAAGGACTTGGGAGATGCTGAGAGGGGGTCGACTAACCATTCCATGCAGGGCAGCAGTGTGCGTGGGGCAGGGCCCATCATAGCCTATGTGGGCTGAGGGGAAACGTGTGGTCAGGGAAGAGGAATATAACGCAAGGCGAGGCAGGACCGGATTATAAAGAGCACTAAAGGCTTCACATCTTCACGCCACTGTTGGCTACTTTCCTTCTCACGATTAAACAGCTTTAGAAAAGAAGAGGGCCAGCTGTGGCTTGGTAGTGAAGGTAGCTGGGTCCCACATGGCTGTGAGATTCGAGATCTGAACCGGTGGTTTGTAAAACAGCCTGGGCCCAAAAGCCAGAGAGGAGAATGGAGAAAGGATTGTGGTGTGGCCATCTCCCCTGGGTGGTGGAGGTGATCTCTCATTTTCCCCCTTTTTTTTTTCTGTCTCTCTGATGAGCACATGCACACTACCGCAGAAAATAAAAAGGAGAAGGAGAACGAAAATTCAGTTTCTTGGGCACAGAGTAATTTCTCAAGAGTGACAGTGGTTTTGGTGTTGAGCTCCACTTCCATGGTGTGCCATTTTGGCTAGCAGACGAGCTCCGTCCTGAGGAGCAAGCCTCCTTTGTGGTCAATACATCTTGCAAACTTTGTTCTTTGGGGAGGCAGGTGGAAAGCATTAGAAAACTCTGTGAACTCAAGGTTGGGCCTGTCCTAGTTAACCAGTAAGCTCACTTGGGCTGTTTGATGAGTCTGAATTCTTTTATGGATCTTGACAGGAAACTCAAAGGAAGGAAGGAGGCTTGTTTTCAAAGCTCGCCTTCCAGATCGCCACGACGAAGGTTGGCATTCTCAAGGATTCCTTCTGGCGAGGAACCTATAGCCAAGACCAGGCCTCATGATTGGGCAAAATTACTTTGCCCTTGTTTTGCTTCCTTTTATTTTTTTTCATGGCATATTTGTAGAGTTGTCTAAGATGCCTGAATACCACAACACGTGCGAATGTATTCCATCTGATTTCAATAAAAAGCATCTCTAGAAAAGCCTCCTTGACTATATAATTTCTTTTTTAATTTTTTAAAAGAATTATTTTATTTAACTTATTTATTTATTTATTTGTTTAGTTTAATCTGACCAGAGAGGGACAGAGTGAGAGAAATAGAGAAAGAGAGAGAGAGAGAAAGCCTCCAGGTCCTGGGACTCGAACAGCTGTCAGTCATGTGGGAGTCCAGTGCCCCTAACCACCATGAGCATTATGAGATGGAATTGCTGTATGCATTCCATCATAGTGGTCTCAATTCCTCTTGTTTTTTAATAACCTCGTTCAGCTCCAGGTACTGTATTGACCAATTATAAGTACTTAGCATGATGCAAATGAGCAGATCCCAAAGGCAATTACGAGAAATAATAGTAATAATCATTGTGATTACTATTCCCCAGGTGTGATAGATGCCACGAGGAAGAGATTCCATTTCTCTCACCAGCTCACAAGCCCTGTGTTGCTGGTTTGCACTTGTGCTTCTAGAATACCCTATGGATCTACAGTTTAGGAAGAGATACCTCTCTGATTTTAGGGGGAGAGGGGATATCTCAGAGAAACTAGAATTAGGTGAATTATTGTAGAGGGCACACAGTTGAGAAAGTAACTGTATAGACTTGTGACTGGCACACTCTTCTTTGGTAGAAAAACTAATAAGGGCTTTATTGTCACTGT